GGCTGCGCGGCCCCTCCCGGCGGGGGCGGGGGGAAAGCGGGGAGGGGGGCGGGACGGGCTCCGCCAAGGCCGGTGGTCGGTGCCCGAGCGGCTTCCTGGGCCCGGTGCTGGGGGGCGAAACCCCGCCTCGGGGTCACGGAATTGTCAGGGTCGGAAGGGACCTTCTAGAGCCCATCCAGTCCAACTCCCCTGCCAAAGCAGGGCTGCCCAGAGCACATCACTCAGGAGCATCCAGGCGGGGCTTGAAGATCTCCAGAGAAGGGGACTCCACATCCTCCCTGGGCAGCCTCTGCCAGGGCTCTGCCACCCTCACCCCAAACAAGTTCTTCCTCACATCCCAGTGGAACTTCCCATGGTCCAGCTTGTGCCCGTTGCCCCTCGTCCTGTCACTGGGAACCACTGAAAAGAGTCCGGCTCCATCCTCCTTCAACCCACCCTTTAGACACTTGTAAGCATTGATAAGGTCTCCCCTCAGCCTTCTCTTCTCCAGGCTCAAGAGCCCCAGCTCTCTCAGCCTTTCCTCATCAGGGAGATGCTCCAATCCCTCCATCATCTCTGTTGCCCTACGCTGGACTCTCTCCAGCAGTTCCCTGTCTCTCTTGAACTGGGGAGCCCAGCACTGGAGGCAGGATTCCAGTTGTGGCCTCCCCAGTGCAGAGCAGAGGGGGAGAATGACCTCCCTCCACCTCCTGGCCACACTCTTCCCTCCGCAGCCCAGGACCCCATTCACCGGGTCGGTACCGGCCCCTGGAAGCTTCACGCCTATAAGGGCCTTTGCGGAGGAGGAGCCCAGTCCCCGCTGGAGCCGCAGCCGGCAATGGCGTTTCCTTCCTGCCTGTGGTTGCCATCCTCCCGGGCCTGGTGCCCCTTCCCCGCTGCTGAGGGAGTGTGGCAGCTGGGGGCAGGGTTTCAGCTCAGCTCACCCTGCTCCCGCTGGGCTCGGCGCCCCCCGGACATGCCAGGGTCGGGCAGAACACCGCCATGAGCACTCCGGGCCCGGGCTGCAGCCAAGGGGGCTCCTCCTGTGGTGCTGCCCCAGCCGGGCACAGGAGAGGGAGAGGCAGATGGCAGGGCTCGGCCCGCCAGCATTCCCTCAGCACCTGTCGGGAAATTCAGAGTAATCTTTGCTGTGGGTTTTTATTACTTGCCCCTCAGGAGCAGGGCAGAGGCTCCACACAGGGCTCCGGGTCAGGCCTGCTCCTCCAGGGCTGGGGCCGGGGTCCCCGGTGGCTCCAGAGCCAGCACCGCTCCGTGTCAGTTGCTCGGCGTTCCCATCTCCAGCTCCTCGTCTTCATCCTCTGACCAGCTCAAGCTGTCGTCTGAGTCCTCTCCTGGTGCTGCCCCGGGCTCCCCAGCGTCGGCAGCCTCCTTCTCCGGCTCACCCCGGGGCTGGGGCCTGCTGCCCGGGAGCTCCAGCCTGGCCCAGGAGCCGGGGCTGGCTTTGTAAAGTGTGATCTCCACCTTGGTGGGGACCATGCTCACAAAGCTCTTCTCTACTTGGATGACCTCGAGAGAGGAAAACATGCATTGAGGGGGAGGGAGGGCAGGCAGCACATGCTCATCCCTCCCCTCACGGGCAGCCTTTCCTTGTCTGCCAGGAGACAGAGCCGGATGGATGCTGGGCTCCAACTTAGGTCACAGGATCACAGGATGATATGGATCACAGAGGAAGGGACCTCTGGAGATCATCTAGTCCAACCCCCTGCCAGAGCAGGGCCACCCAGAGCAAGTCCCACAGGAACGTGTCCGGGGGAAGCTTGAATGTCTCCAGAGAAGGAGACTCCACCCCCTCCCTGGGCAGCCTCTTCCAGGGCTCTGCCACCCTCAGTATCTATAGGCATTGATCAGATGCCCCCTCAGCCTTCTCTTCTCCAGACTAAACAGACCCAAGTCCCTCAGCCTGTCCTCATCGGAGATGCTCCAGATCCCTGCAGCGGGGATGGTGCTGAGCTCAGGAGGGCCCAGCTGCGATGGCAGCCGCAGTGCAGCCTTCTCCCCGGGGCAGCGAGCTGTGTGGAGGCGGGGATGTGCCCACCGGCCATACCCACCGCCAGCAGCACGCTCCGCTCCCCACAGGCACAGGCAGCACGCGCCAGAAATGAAGGCAAGAAATGCACATGCAAATTCCCCAGTCTCGCTGCTCCTCCCCAGCCAGCCAGCAGCTGCCAGGTGGGAGAGCGAGCGTCTCGGCAGGATTGCAGGGGGAAGACAGGGACCTGCTGGGCCAAAGACCCTTTGGGGCACCCTGGGACCAAACCCCAACACCTACAGAGCCAGCAGCGACATCCAGCTCCGCTCTTAGTCCGGGATCGATTAGTGCCACTGCTGGCAGCCTCCAAAACAACCCTCCTTGCACCTCCTAAGGCATTTCCTAGCAGAGGAACACTTGTCATCACGCTGTGTCAGTTCTATGATCCTATGAGATGGCTATAAATGCCAGCACCTGGGCAACCTGTTCCCAGACAATCCCACCAAAAGCAAGCCAGCACCGTGGCAGCACTTAAAGGTGAGTAGCCAGGGTGCCTCGGGTAGTGCAGAACAGTCAGGTGGGCTGTCCTGGTTTGATTGAAACAGGACTCACTTCTCTTTGAATGCTAGGGAAAACTGCACTTTTAGAAGACGCTAGTGTCTGAATTTGTGACAGTATTTACTTTACAGCCAGCTCTGGGGTACAGGTTTCAAGGTCTTGGTGTTTCTGAGCTCCCAAGGTGTGAGGACGAGGAGGAGTGAGATCCAGCCCCAAGCTGCCAGCGGGGCTATTTCATACCATGAACATCACATTCCATATCAATTAGAAAGTTTGCTGAGGATTTCTCTTTCTCCCTCGATGGCTGGGATCCAGGGAACTCAGAGCCCTGAGCCCTTCCCTTCCCCCCGGAGCTGCGGCGCTCGCAGGGTCCCCCAAGGGCTGTCCCTGCGGGGTGTCCTGTGATGGGATGGGCTGGGACAGTCCTGGTGGGTTTTATATCAGTATCAGGATTGATAGTGGCTCTTTAGTATTATTAATGTTTATTATTTAGTCTTATTCTACTCAATCTGTTTATATTTCAACCCTCAGGTTTCTTTTTTTTTTTTCCCCGATACCCCTTCCTGGGTGGGATAGGGGTCATCAGGGGATAAAATAATTGCCTAAGTGACAATAAATTGTTGTGGGTTTCTCAAATTATAGCACGGGCACCCAGCCCAGGTGCAGTCCTGGCACGGCTCCCAGGGGGTGCTACCACTATGGGATCAGCAGAGGAAAACCTAATTTCATCAGCAGCCTCTGCTGCTAGAGAAAACTGGAGCTGTGGAGATAAACGGGTCCTCTCTGCTGTGACAGCCGTGGCAGACCTGTGTTTCTCCGCAAGGCTTTGAGAGCTGGCAACGAATCGCACAGAGGCAGGGGGGCTGTGAAATGGCTGTTTGTTCCACAGATGTGCCAGCCAGGGAAGAGGCGGCGTCCCTGGGGCCGCAGCATTTCTCTCTCATTTCTTCTCTAATGCAGTCAAAGCCTGCCTCATGCTCCATGCACAGAAGGACGGTGCAGAAATTGCAGCAACAACCATTTTGCTGCTTTTTTGCAAAAGTCTGAGAATCCTGACTATGCAGAGAGTAATTTTCCTTACTGGGAGGGAGGGTTTGGGGCTGCAGATGCTTCTCCCAGAGCCCAGGCTGCCTGGCAGCGCAGCAGCCCAGCCCGGTGCAGACCACGCAATAGGGAAATCAAAGTAAACAGGATCTTACCCCCCAGAGATCCAGTTCTGCCTGGAAAATCTTATTCCCTTCAAAGATGACGTGAACCTCAAGCTGAAAGACGAAGAGAAGAATGGGACCTGAGTGGGTAGGGCAGCACTGCCCCGGGCAGCACAGCTGCCTTCCAGCACTGTAACGCATCCCGCATCCCAGCTCCAGTGCAACACTCCTGCTATCCATCCCCTCAGGGAGCATTTCACAGAATCACATGGTGACTCCACCACCTCCCTGGGCAGGCTGTTCCAGTGCCTGACCACCCTCTCAGTAAAGTAATTCTTTCTAATATCTAATCTAAATCTCCCTTGCCGCAACTTCAGACCATTTCCTCTGGTCTTGTCGTTCGTCCTTTGGGAGAAGAGGCCAACACCTGCCTCTCTCCACCCTCCTTTCAGGTAGTTGTAGAGGGCAATGAGGTCTCCCCTCAGCCTCCTCTTCTCCAAACTAAACATGCCTAGTTCCCTCAGCCTCTCCTCATAGGACTTGTTCTCCAGACCCCTCACCAGCTTGGTGGCTCTCCTCTGGACACGCTCCAGCACTTCAATGTCCTTCCTGTAGTGAGGGGCCCAAAACTGAACACAGTACTCGAGGTGAGGCCTCACCAGTGCCGAATACAGAGGCACGATGACTTCCCTACTCCTGCTGGCCACACTATTCTTGATACGAGCCAGGATGCCCCCTTCAGAGCACGCCAGGTTCATCTCTGCCACCAGTCGAGGGATTTAAGGCCAGCAAAGCCACCCCCTAGGGCTGAAAGCCACTGAGCCAGAGTAAGCAGACGCTGTGGCAGCAGCGAAGCCACCAGGTTCTCATTGGGCTTGGGGATGGCCGGTCAGCATTGCCAGCCCCAGCTGCAGCAAGAGAGCAAACAGCCCATCGAAGAGGCCTGGCTCATCAAAACCCAGGTGCCATGAAAGGCTGCACCCCCAGCCCCACTCACCGTGGTGCGGTTGGCTTTCACGCTGCTGAGGGCGGGCAGGGGGTTCTTGGCATAGACCGTCACCACCACCTGGCTGCTGGTCTGGTGCCAGTCCTGCCGGCACGACACCGCCTTCTTGTCCTGCTGGGGAGAGGGACTGTCATGGCAGAGTGTCTAGCCCAAGCACACCCCAAATAGAGGTGGTGTCTGAGCTGGGGGATGCCTCTTTGCACGTCTCCTTCGCAGAGCGCCGGCTGAGGTTGGCATCACCTGAGCAAGACCAAACCCTGCCTTTCGTGCAGGTTTTTGAGGGGAGGTGGTTCATCTGAAGCTGGGCAGCCCCTGCCAGGTTGGCCCATGCAACGTGGGGCATCTGTGCTGTGCTTGGGGTTGCTCCAGAAGGGCGTGTTAAGACCAGAGACATCCCCTTCTCATTCCAGAGTCATTCTGCTGTGCCCAAGCTCATAGGCGCTGTGCACTGTCAGGGAGCTTGGTCTGGAGGGCAGTGCAGGGGCTGTTGCTGGACATGGATCATGCCACCACACTAGATGTGGGAGACAGATGAGCCCCAACTGGCCACGTGTCCCCTTTCTCCCACAGGACTGCCACCTCATCTGTGCCACTGGCAGCTTTGGCTACCCAGGAGGAAAAGCAGCCCCAAACTCAGGCAACAATTAACAAAAAGCACGTGCATCGTAACATCCACTGTTAGGTTTTCTGCTCCAGGACAAAGAACCTCCAGCGCTGGGTCCATTTTTGGGCCCCTCACGACTGGAACGATATGGAGTTTTGCCAGCCAAAGAAACACCCAGGAGGAAACGCAGCCCCAAACTCAGGCGACAATTAACAAAAAGCATGTGCATCATAACATCCACTGTTAGGTTTTCTGCTCCAGGACAAAGAACCTCCAGCGCTGGGTCCATTTTTGGGCCCCTCACAACTGGAACGATATGGAGTGGCTGAAGTGTGTCCAGAGAAGGGCAACGGAGCTGGTGAGGGGTCTGGAGCACGAGACTTGTGAGGAGCTTCCTATGGCACATCTGCCCATTGGGTGTGAGAGCTTAAAAGTTTTGTGGGTGCAGTAGCAGGACGTTAACCAGGGGATGGGTGAAGATTAGACATGCAAAGCCTGCGCAGCCATCTGTCGGCAATTATGAAAATTAAAGGGGTCTGGAGCACAAGACTTGTGAGGAGCTTCCTACGGCACATCTGCCCATTGGGTGTGAGAGCTGAAAAGTTTTGTGGGTGCAGTAGCAGGACGTTAACCAGGGGATGGGTGAAGATTAGACATGCAAAGCCTGCGCAGCCATCTGTCGGCAATTATGAAAATTAAGACAATTAAATGCAGAAACAACGTGCGAACGCACAGCAAGGGAAGGAGCCCTCCTCAGGTGTCAGTGATGGCACTTTGCTCGCACGAGTCGCCCCCGCTGAAAGCCCCCCCCTTACCCCCTTCCCCGTCCAGCAGTGCCGCCCGCTGCTGCAGCCCGGCTGCTCCAGGAAGGCGCTGAAATCCGTTGTTTTGACCCCACAGCAGCTCCAGTACTTCATCCTGGGGAGAGCAGGGCGACCTGAGCAGGGGGTGCCTGCAGGAAGGGGAGAGGGAACCCCGGCGGGCTTTGGGGTGCCGGGGGAGTGGGGCTCAGCGCCAGCAGCCCCCCCTGCCTGCCTGTCCCCCAGGGGGGTGTCACCCGTCCCTGCAGCAGCTGTGCTGCTGAACCCGCACACCCTCACGATGCAGTGCTGTCAGCCCGCAGCAGCGTCGCTTTGCTCCCCGGTGAAGTGTTGTTTCTTACCCCTCGTGAAAGACAGGAACGCCAGGATGGAAAGTACAAACCTCTGTGTTGCTCTCTGGGCCCTGGTAGGTCTGTGGAGTGAGAAGCAGAGGAAAGTTTGGGCTGTGCCTCTGGTAAAGCACGGCACGGTGCAGGCAGGTGCCCGCCTGTTGGTGCCCATCTCCACAGAAGGCACAGCACAATGCCCACCATCACAGAATCCCATGGGGTTGGAAGGGACCTCTGGAGATCATCCAGTCCAACCCCCTGCCAGAGCAGGGCCACCCAGAGCAGGTTGCACAGGAACGTGTCCAGGTGGGGTTTGAATGTCTCCAGAGAAGGAGACTCCACCACCTCCCTGGGCAGCCTCTGCCAGGGCTCTGCCACCCTCACAGCAAAGAAGTTCCTCCTCATGTTGAGGTGGAACTTGTTCTATTCAAGTGTGGGCCCGTTTCCTCTTGTCCTGTCCCTGGGCACCACTGAAAAAAGACCAGCCCCATCCTCCTGACACCCACCCTTTAAGTATTTATAGGTGTTGATCAGATCCCCCCTCAGCCTTCTCTTCTCCAGACTAAACAGACCCAAGTCCCTCAGCCTTTCCTCATAAGAGAGATACGCCAGGCCCCTCAACAGCTTCGCAGCCGCTGTTGTCCCCTCTCCAGCAGTTCCCTGTCCTTCTGGAACTGAGGAGCCCAGAACTGGCCTCAGTGCTCCAGATGGGGCCTCCCCAGAGCAGAGGAGAGGGACAGGATGACCTCCCTTGACGCACCCTTTCACTGGGTCCGGCATCTGTGAGGCCTTATTCTGGGACTGTCCTCAGCCCAGGACCGGTCGGGTCTCAGGGCAGCCTTGCAGGGACTCCCGTGTCACCTTCATCACCCTGGCAGCAGCCCTTCCCGGTGCCCTCTCCCAAACACAGCCTGGTCCCAGCCTGGGGCTGGGCAGCACCAGGACAGTGGGCAAGTTTGGACACCACGGAAACTCACTCCGAGGTTCAAGGGGCCATTTTTCCATCCTGTCCTTTCCTCTGCTTCCCAGAGTGTGTCAGTCTCATGTCCTCATCCACCTCCCGCCTTTTGCTCCCTGCCTGCCCCCTTCTCTGCTGCTCTCCAAGCATGGTCCTCCGGTGCATGTCTCTGGGCAGGCAGAGGGTCCTGCACAAGGCGGCCAGACAAGGGGCAAGACAGAAAGTGGGCTGTGCTGCACTAATTAAATGCAGGTGGGAATTATTCCATATGAATTTTACCTACATGCCCATACCCCGAATCAGAAAATCAGAGAATGGTTAGAGTAGGAAGGGACCTTAAAGATCAACAAGTTCCAACCCCCTGCCCTGGGCAGGGACACCTCCCACCAGACCAGGTTGCTCCAAGCCCCATCCAGCCTGGCCTTGAACCCCTCCAGGGATGGGGCAGCCACAGCTTCTCTGGGCAACCTGGGCCAGGCTCTCACCACCCTCACAGCAAAGAATTTCTTTCTGGTATCTCATCTCAATCTCCCCTCTTCCAATTTAAAACCGTTCCCCCTTGTCCTGTCACTGCACTCCCTGACAAAGAGTCCCTCCCCAGCTCTCCTGGAGCTCCCTTCAGATATTGGAAGGCTGCTCTAAGGTCTCCCCGGAGCCTTCTCTTCTCCAGGCTGAACAACCCCAGCTCTCTCAGCCTGTCCTCACAGCAGAGGGGCTCCATCCCTCTGAGCATCTTCGTGTCCCTCCGCTGGACCCATTCCAACAGGTCCATGTCCTTCCTGTGCTGAGGACTCCAGAGCTGGACACAGAGCTCCAGGTGGGGTTTCACGAGCACGAGTATGTTCTTATATTTCATTGCAAACAATTGGCAGCAGCGAAACGCAAAGGTACCACCAACCCAGGAATCCTTTTGCGGGAAGGGGCTGGGAAGCGACAGAGGCCGCATCTCCAGGGACGGGATGACCAGGAGCATCTGGAAGCGGTGGGCATCACCACCTCCCACCCCCCTGCACCCTGCCCCGGGCAGAGAGACTGGCCCCCGCGCCGGACCCACGGTGCTCCTGGCCGTGGGGCACAGACCACGCACAGAGGGGGCTCTGGTGGGTACTCACCGCCTTGCAGGCTGCGTTCTTGCAGGTGGTGCCAGCTCTCACCTGGGCAGCCGCCTCCCCTGCGAGAGCAACACAAGCTTCACCCTGGGCCATGTGCCTGCCCCCCAACCCCGCTGCCACCAGCCCCCCAACCCCGCTGTGGTGTCACAGCCTGGCCCCCCAGCCCAGCCCGCCACAACACGCTGCCCAGACGGGGGTTCAGCACGCAGCCCCCCACCACCTCATGCCAAACCTGCCACGTGCAACCCTGCTGCCACCCGCCAGCTCCTCTCTACCTGCACAACCACCCTCGGGTGCCTCATGCTTGGGGGAGAGGTTCAGCTTCTCCAGTGCCTGCTCCAGAGACCTGGACACTTTGATGGGCAGCAGTTGCCTTGGCTCATCGGAGCTGGGAAACAGCAGCAGCAAAGACCCAGTGGGTTGGTTTTTGGGGTTTTTTTTTGCAATCTAAGTGTTGTTGCCTCTCCTGAGGAAGCAGCAGGGCAGGACACGTGCAGAAGAAGCGGCACAACAGGGTGACACTGTTGGCTGAGCTCGTCTCACCTTGGTCTTTCCCGCTGCATCTTCTCAGCTGATTTTGGTCCTTGGATGATGAGCTCCTCCACTGGTTTGGGCTTCAGCTTGCCTGACGTCTCCTCTTGGCCGAAAGGCTCAGGGGGCTTCTCCTTGCTGTGAAACCCCTTTGTGCAACCCTGAGCAGCAGAGGCAAGCCTGATGCCTGCTTTGCCCACTCTCACCTGGCTGCTGCTCCCAAACCCTGCAAGTTCCCGTGCCTTGGTGGCTTTGTGTCCTGCAGGAATGGGCTCTGACCCTGCACCAGGGGCGTCTGCAGGGGTCACCAGGGACAAGATGGTCTGGCAGCCTCAGCAGAGCCACGGCAGACTGGTCTCAGCTCTGCTGCACCCTGGCCTGGCAGCTGAAGGGCAGCGAGAGACTCCCCCGACGTCCCCTGCTGCCTCCTTCCCTCCCCTGGGCTGCTCGGACATTGGCAGCTGTGCTGGTGCTTGGGGCAGGGATCCCCAGGATCCCAGAGGGGGATTCACAGCCCCGTCCAGCAGCCTTCTCCAGGAGAGCCTGCCCCACACTTTGGGAGCAGCTCCCTTCCTTGCAGGCTCCTTGGGAGCAGAGAGGGAATCCCGGAGTGGCAGGGTGGAGGGGGCAGCCTCGGCAGGGGCTGAGGACAGGGCAGGGGCGAGGAGGAGAGGATGGAGGAGCAGCGGGTGCATTTTGGCTGGCTCACCTTTATGGAGAGGAACTCGGAGAAGTCCGTGGTGCGTTTCTTGCAACAAGACCAGCCCTGGCACCGGGAGGGGACAAACCGGTCAGGGGTGGGCGACCCCACCAGGCACAAGGTCCCTCCCTGTGGCTGCAGCCCCAGCTCCGGCCCCACTCACCTTCAGGGCATCGTGGAAGATGGGGACGCCCGGGTGATACAGGCAGGAATCTGAGAAGGGGAAATCAGGCAGAACCTCTCAGGAGGATGGGTGCTGCCCAGGAGCCACCCATGGTGCCTGGCAGCTCCTGCCCTGTGCTCAGCTCGGCCCTGCTGAGGCCTCTGTGCCCGGGGCTGTGTGCTGGGCAAGCGGCAGGCATTCCTGCTCACCCCGGGGCAGGGCACATGAGCCACTTACCCTCGGCGTTGTGCTCCGGGTCGAACCTCTGCCCGCAGCCCTTGTTGTAGCACAGCCACGCCATAGCTCAGGCGGACTCCTGGCGTCCTTCACTCCTTCCACAAAAATCCCGTCAATCTCATCCCTGCCCGTGATCCCGCCTCTGCTTCCCCGCAGCTTCCAGCCCGGGCGCCGGGAGGTGGCTTTGCCTATCTTTGGAGGCAGCCGGAGGAGGTGGCTGGTAACTGGAGAGTGGGCTAAAGATGGACATGGCAGCTCAGCAGCTGACGGGACCCGGCGCCCGTGTTATCTCCTAAGGCATTTCTGTCCTGCCCCTGCACCCGGCAGAGGGGGTGGCCACTGCGGGGGGACACCTGGGGCGGGCAGAGGATCTCCCAGTGCCTTCCCCCCGCCAGCGTCCAGCGTGAAGGCACCGGCATCACCCCAGAGCTCACACTGGGCTCAGGGCAACCTGGGACCAACCACCCTCTATTTCTTCAGCATTTATAGAAGCAGCTGAAAGTTTCCTGCACGGGAAGGGAAGAGACTGCCCGGAGTCCCAGGGCAAAACCTCTGCTGATCTCCCCCCAGCCCCAAAAGGCATGACCATCTGCTGGTCAGAGGTGCCCGCAGACCAAAGCGGCGTGTGTGGCCAAAACATCCTTCAATGCAGGGTCTTGTGCAGCTCAGGGGTGAGATCTGTCCCCTGGGAGATGGTTGTTGTCACAGAAGAAGAGCACAAAATGTTACATGGGCCCCCTGGACCCAGGAGAAGTTGGCTTGGACTCCCTACTCCCATTCTGGGACCCAAGGGTTTTCCTCTACAAACAGGAAACCCTTTTGAGATCAAAGGTTTTACGTAGCTTCTACAAGCATTTAAAACAAATACTATTTTCTTTTTGTTGTTCCTATTTGCAGAGATGGGTGTTTCCTGGGCACTGCCCTGACCTGCTGGAGCACACAGCCCTGGAAAGTCTTTCTGCTCAGGAATCAGGTTTGACATAAGCCCTTAGCATTACCAGACAGCAGGCAGGTCCTACAGGCAGCACCCACAAGGTGGGTGGCTGAGATAACCCCATCACTGTCCCCTGATGTTTATTTAACCTAGTTAATCCCCTTACGGCAGCCTGCAGGATCTGCTGCCACCCCAAGGGGATCTCCAGAGTCCAGAGTTAGGATCAACCCTTGCCAAAATTCTGGAGCTCACCAGGCAAATGACTCCAGACTCATTTCACGCTGCCACGGTGCTCCACCTCCAGCTCGGTTCTGCCATCCCCTCCTTGAGATGCCCCAGACAGCAGCAACCTCAGGCTTTTCCTTGTCATCCCGTTAGCAAGGAAGATGGCCCTGCTGGAGGGGAGGACACGTATCACCATCATCATCACGCTTCCTCATACCTGTGTATAAATCTGCATCCAACCCAAAAGCAAGGAGGGAAACGTGAGGGAGCTGGGGAACTGTCGCACGAGGATGAGCCACACGGCATCAAACTGATGCCTCCTTCAAAGGACTGCAGCACCTCACGGAGTCATGGAATTGTCAGAGTTGGAAGGGACCTCTAGAGATCCTCCAGTCCAACTCCCCTGCCAAAGCAGGGCTGCCCAGATCAGGAGCATCCAGGTGGGGCTTGAAGATCTCCAGAGAAGGGGACTCCACACCCTCCCTGGGCAGCCTCTGCCAGGGCTCTGCCACCCTCACCCCAAACAAGTTCTTCCTCACATCCCAGTGGAACTTCCCATGGTCCAGCTTGTGCCCGTTGCCCCTCGTCCTCTCACTGGGAACCACTGGAAAGAGTCCGGCTCCATCCTCCTCTAACCCACCCTTTAGACACTTGTCAGCATTGATAAGGTCTCCCCTCAGCCTTCTCTTCTCCAGGCTCAAGAGCCCCAGCTCTCTCAGCCTTTCCTCATCAGGGAGATGCTCCAAGCCCTCCATCATCTCTGTTGCCCTACGCTGGACTCTCTCCAGCAGTTCCCTGTCTCTCTTGAACTGGGGAGCCCAGCACTGGAGGCAGGATTCCAGTTGTGGCCTCCCCAGTGCAGAGCAGAGGGGGAGAATGACCTCCCTCCACCTCCTGGCCACACTCTTCCCTCTGCAGCCCAGGATCCCATTGGCCTCTTGGCCACAAGGGCACATTCCCTCAAAACACAATAGATGACCCAGTGGTCCCAAAGGTGGGTAAAAAACCGCTGCTGGCATCCAGAGCCTCTGCTTAGGTGTGAGGAAACACGTGGAACCCAAGAAGCTGGGCAGAGCCCTGTGATGGGGAAATTAGTGTTCCGGGGGGCTGAGGGGAGCGATAGGGTTTCAGATCTCCTTGTCCTCTCTGCGGGCCGTCAGCAGGGCTGCAGCTGTCGCCATCCCCGCGCCAGGGAGGATCCACAGCTCGGGTTTCCTCGCACGCCCCGGAGAAAATGCCAAGAGGATGCTGTATCTGACCCACACAGCGAGGCTGGTGGCAGGGGGATCAGT